CTATAATTCCACTTAAGGTTTCTGTCCACTAAAGTAATTCTAGGCTTCCAAAGTCTTTTGTGCATATACATTACCAAAAGTCAAAACAGTCGCTTTACTCCAGTTGTGTTCTACCCTTATAAGAAAGGTTTATCTGCTTTTTTTCGCTTAAAAATTTTCATGCGTATTTTGTTCCGAGATTGTGTTTTTATGGGTGATTTCGCAGTTTTTTGACTGTTCTGGAAGCATTAGGTCTCCATGTTTCTTATAGATGTTTAGCGAAGTGAGAACTAGAAAACAATTTGAATTTTTGCATTTTGAAGGGCACCCGACATGGACCCAACAGCAAGTCTGCGCTCAAATTTTTGCCTTCAAAATAGGTTTATGCTATTTTTGTAAGCTCAAAATGATGTAAAGCATTGTTTGCATAAAAAGAAGTTTGTACACTATACTTACGATTGTTCGTCAAGTATATTTTGCTTCGTTTTCAAAGCATAGATCTTCGCGGTTCAGTGATAATATTTAGGCAATCCCAAAATACTTGCCAATTGGAACCTTTCCTGATTTTTTGTCACTCTTTAGTGCTAGATAGCGAAAACACCCTGTATTGTATAATGCCTTGTGACTCACATGAGTATCACGGTCAGAACCAAAAATAAGTTCAAAGCTTTTTGCAAATTAGTTTTTGCAGGATGAATTCCTCAATTAGCCTGCATGCTAAGACCTGCGAAAATCTGCAACCACTGCATCCGGGCTCTCATACGTACAACAATGTTATTGCTTTACTCCACGCTCATGAGAACATTGCAGAAAGAGTTTAAAAGCAAAAATTTGAGCGCAGGCTTGCTATTAAGTCTATGTCGGGTGCCCTTTAGAATATGAAAACTCAAATTTTTTTTCTAGTTCTCACTTCGCTAAGCATTTATAAGATAGAAGAAGCCCTATCGTTTCCAAACCAGTCAAAAAACTGCGAAATCACCCAAAAAAACACAATCTCGGGAACAAAATACGCATGAAAGTATTTTTAAGCAAAAAAAGCAGATAAACTTTTTTTATAAAGGTATGACACAGCTGAGTAAAGCGACTGTTTCGACTTTTGGTAATGTATATGCACAAAAAACTTTGGAAGCTTAGAATTACTTTAGTGGACAGAAACCTTAAAGGCAGCGGCTCGGCAGATTTTGCATTTCCATCTTTTCGCATGTTTTGGGCCTTCTCGACCCGTAGATCCCGAATCTGAGCTTTAAAAGCGGTGAAAAGGCCTTTTTCGGGGCGTTTTTTCAATTTCCAAAAGGCAGCTTGGACGAGAATTTTCAGGAAAGTCGGGAGGCCCTGGCACGAAGACCCTGCTGCCTGTAATTTTGGCTTTGTATAGCATGCACAATGCGGGAAAGCGGTTGGGGGGTCCCGCGCCTCTAACGAAGAATACTCGTCCGAACAAGGTGTTAGGGGAGCGAAAGGAGGAAGGGGAGCGGCGCTTGGGCCGCCCCCTGGCTTGCAGAGTTCACATTTCGGCGCGGAGTTGCTGTTTTGGTTCACTTGGAGGGCCTCCTATCCATCTGTGTCAAAATCTGAGGTAGGTCAATCTGCCGAGCCGCTGCCTTTAAGTGGAAGTATAGTTTTGGCCAACCTTCAAGCCTGCTTTTTTCCAAATTTCTGATTTTTTCCTGAATAATCAAACAAAAACGGGATCCGTTCTAGTCGCTGATGGTAGCCTGTTAAAGGCAGCGTCCAGGCAGATCTGGATCTATGGGGCTTTTACGTGGAAAGTACTTTTGGGGCCCTAACTAAGGCACTGCCCAAGCGGCAGCTCAAGTAGTGCTCTAATGGCTGAGATATTCCCCTCGAAACTGGCCCCCGCGAACGTATTCGCATGGATTCATGGCAGTTTCGCGCCAGGATCCAGCTTTGCGCCATGAATCCATGCGAAACACGGTCGCGGGGTCCAGTTTCGAGGGGAAGATCTCAGCCATTACAGCACTACATGAGTTGCCGCTTGGGCAGTGCCTTAGTTAGGGCCCCAAAAGTACTTTCCACGTAAAAGCCCCTAGGTCCAGATCTGCCTGGACGCTGCCTTTAAACACGCAGCTGCACCAAATTTCAGACCAATTCGTTGAGAAGCAGATGATACGGTAGTTTTCAGGGTGGACGTATAGTTTTGGCCAGCACTGTATGTCGCCGAATTTGGGAGAGTCCCGCGCGGATTCCCTGCAGGAACGCATGTCCGCGCATGTACAAGGATGCGTATTTGTCGCAAATGACCGCGGGGACCGCCCTTTTCCGGCGACATATAGTCCTCTAGCCGTACTAATTGAAGGTGCCAGATTGCATATGCGCGCTTCCGGACCGCCACGCGGTTTCGCTATTTGCAGATTATTGAATTGCGCTTATGTTTCTTTTTATATTAGATAGATAGATAGATAGTTATTAGATAGACAGATATGCAGTGGATCAAGTATGCACCCGGTGGTGCCTATGCTGCTGCCAATTTCGGAGCCGGCCCAACCGTTCCTTTTCGGTGTAGTTGTGCGTGTCTTGACTACACAACTTTGCTGAATACCGTAGTTTGCGAACGAGTAGTAGATGCTTCAAGTTTCCATCATCATTCTAACGTTATCGTCATTATTTTTCGTTATACTTTCCATAAATCGTTTCAGAAACATATCTGAATTGTATATTACTTTCTAAGGAGCATCATTGGCAAGGTCTGTTACTCTTCGTCATCATCTTCTTTGCTGACTCGCTCACTTTTCATCTTGCATTTTTCAACAATTTTGAAAAGCATGTTTCATAAATTTTTCTGGGGATTTTCTATAGAGAAATCATGTATCATTGTGTACATTTTCCTTAATATTTATGGATTTTCTGATGATTCAGAGTTCTTGCACAATTTTTGCTTAATCACCATGTATAGCTGGTTAAATAGTTCCTGGTCTTGCAAATTTCACATGCAGTTCACGGAAATGCTTTTTATGGTGATTATGAATCATCGGAAACGTCATCTCCCGATGCTCCTAGTGCTTTTAAAGTTTGTACATCTTCAATTTAGCATACGGGTGAGGCTCATGTGGTCATGGTGATACTTTCAGAGACTCTTCAGAGCTTCATTCAAACTAGTAAATTTTATTAAGCAGAATAACTGTCGAACTCTGCCTAGCATTTTTCTGGTTTTCATTTTTTGTGAGCTACTTGATCTCATCAAATAATAACATTTTGCGTTTCCTCTCTGTTGTTTGCGTCTGATTTTCTTTCTCTGCACCCAACTTCCAATTACCATTCAGCGTCAGCGCACTATTTTGAATCGTTTTTTTTTTCGACTTCAATGCTGGCGAATCTTGATTCAAATACGCGGTGATGCAATGCTACGCAAGTTTGAGTGCATGTGTGACCGGAGTGTGTACGGTTTTTGTCATCGCGCAACCGTCACCGTGTTTGCTTTTGAAGTTGGACGGGTGCGGAGGCGACAGAGAGTGATTTTCGAAACTCTCCGCGTTGACTTTGCCTTGTCAGTCTGGTTCTTATCTCGTAACGAGGTAGTCGAGTCACCTTTGTAATCCTATAATCCTTCGCTGATGGGCTAATTTCAGGTATTCATTAAAGGCAGGGGATCCTCGTTTTAGAATGTAGTCATTCGATTTATTTTGAGTTCCATCAACTTTTTTAGTATCGTCTTTCAACTTCTTCAGCAATCTTATCTCAAATCTTTATCTACTAATTGTCCCACAGTGGCAGAACGTAAACAGTTATTTCAGTATGATATACCGCGAGCCATCTACGCTTTTTACCGAGGTGACGCAAGATTCTTTTATCAAATCTATATAACCGCGAGGCTTCGGCCATACCCTTTGATTCAACTGACTTGGCGGATGGCGGGGCTTCGTGACCTTATGAAAGCTATAGCCTACCTATAGGAAACGATCAGAAAGCACGCGCGCGGGAGAGACGCAGACTGCGTCGCGGGAGCGAGCGGCCTCAATTGGGTCACAAAGCTCCGGCTTCCAGCCTCCAAGCCATTTGAATCTATCTGAATTGTTGAGGAGGGCAAGCATTAGTGGCGTTAAACAAAAAAAAAAACATGAAAATAATGGAGAATATCATTAGATTGCTAAAAAAAGTTGCTAGTTCTAGAAACTTCGACCAACTTTTCGCGCGCAATTTTAGCAAGCCCGACTAGGTCCGGTCACAGAATGAGTATAGCCGACTCAATCACCTACTAAGCGCATTGTCTCACAAAGGTGGACCAGTAGATTTAACGCTCAACATAGTGCTAATTTACCGATAACATCTGCTTAGATAAAGAATGTTTTTGGAGCGCGAAGCTTGAACGTCTCCGCTGTATTGCCTTTTTTTTCACAGAAAGGGTGGACAGCATTGCGAATAGGACAGTTTTCTGTTCGTGTAAGCGTTGTTGGCACCTCGGGCACGATATATCAAGTGTTAAGTTATTGTATTAACCTCCTATACATCTTTCATTCAGTGAAGGGTTTTAATGCGATACAAGCAATTGAAATCAGCCAGATTATTTCGCTCACAATTCTTCCCATGCATGATATTCCGAGAAAATTTCATAGAATGAGGAGTTTGGAGAAAAGAGAATTATTTTTAAGGTTTTCTGCTCGTACTATAGCCATTCTAAAAACTTTTCGAAAGTTGTCCATCAATCAAATTTCTGAACCCACACATATGAGGCACTTCCTATCATCTTCCCGAAAATTATCTCTGAATTCTCTCTCAAGCCTGCACCTGCAAAGCGGCTCAAGCTTGGAGTCCGTATCTTTACCCTGCATAGATAAGCTGTTTTCTGTGTGCGTGATCATTGAGTGAAGTTTTAACCAAGCTTTTCGATTCTTGCATATCTTATCTCTACATTTTGACCACACCTGATCATCACCTGATCATATCATACCTGATCAATGTTCATCAATTTTCTTGATTGTTAGGAATGTATGTCATTAATCTCGCAGCATGTCCGCGTAAACGAAATTTGTTATGCTTGATTGTAAAACTTGCAAGAACTATTGATTCCAGATGTATAATGGCTGGTGTACCTTACCAGCTAGAAAACTTAGCAACTGTTATCGCAATCCCGACACCGACAGCTGAGGGTGAACCGGAAACTGAAATTTCGGATAGTTCGAAAAGCAATATCATGTTAGAAGGCACAAATGAAGATCACAAAGCACGCAAACACCGAGAGGTAAGATCTGATTTCTATTTCCTTCGCTTTTTTATACTTTTCTATCTTTCCATTATTTTTCGCTTTTCTGAGTCGTTTTTTTTTTCATCCTTCCAAAAATTACGACCCCAGATTTCTGAATAAAGAAAGCAAAAAGGTTCTAACTTGGACTAGGATCGTCTGAACACGGTGCTTTTTTCATTGTTATTATCTTTAGAGCGCTGCTCGGTGGCATACAGTCCGATAAATGTTATGCATGAGTCACTTCTGTAAGTGCATCGACGCATATCAGTTGCTTCAAAATTTCGCTTTTGTTTGACCGTTCTGTCGCCGGATTTCCTGTCATAAGCAAAGTAGACAAAACATGCTGAATTTTATTTTCTGACTCATATTTTGTTCCGCTGAATAGAGGCCAATTTGAAGCCAGCCCACATTCATGGTTCAAAATATGCTGAACAGCCATATTTCTCCTTTTTATCTTTGATATAATTATCTCACAGCAATCCCAGAGTTTTAGATTTTTCGGATCTTTTTAGGGTCAGGTCAGAATTTTGATAACGTGATAATAGTATAAAAGGTTTACGTATAAGAAAAGATCTGAATATTTGTAATAAATGCGTCCATTTTCGAAGTGAAGTCTTTGGTATATGTTTCCCGTCAATCCGTCAATTTTCGAATGAACTTTGCAAATAATGACTTTTGAAGTTGTTTTTCAAAGATTTTTTCGTGTTTACAGCGTTTCTGCAGCATTTTGTTTTGATATTCAACCTTTGTTATTTTCGTTGAGTAAAAATTGTCCATTTTTTGGTACATAGTTCTATTCGAGAGCCTTTTATATGTACAGATTTGTATCGGTAAACAACTTGCGTAAGCAGTCGTCTTTCCGTGTCAGTCATCAACTTTTGCCTATCGAGGGTTTGATAAATTGCGCTGCCCCGCTCCTTTTTTCCTGTTGCGTATATTGATGAGATTGGAACCTGTTTCAGTTTTTGCTATCTTGTAAGCTAGAATAGATGTTTCTGAGTTTTCCGGAAGTCATGCTCAATGATAACCCTTGGTATCGTTCCTACATCTCAAGTAGCATGTTTGTACGTACTTTGAGCGCACATTGATTATCTACAGCGCGACACATCGGCGCAATCGTTACCTCCGCCTACCATGCCTCACGCTCAACAACGACCGCCTCTCGATCGTGGACAAAGCCAGTAAGTTTTCACAGCGAGTCATTACTTATCTTCTTTTTATCATCTCTTTTTTTACCATGATTGATTACTAGTTAACCGGTTCTGATAACCGAACTAACGGAACTCTGACGTACCCCATCATCACCTGTTGCTTTCTACTAGGTCACGCTTTTTTAACTTTTTTTACATAGGATTCAAATGGCTTTGAATGGATCAGCTAATTTCGTTGGTTGGAATGATACAGAAGGCGACGTTTATCGAACCTGGGGTTCGAAAAGATTGCGATTCTTGGCGAAGAAGTATAATCTAGATCCGATCCGTGTTTTAACCGAAGGTGAGTTTTTTCGACAATAATTGTATGATGAAGTTGTAATTTTAAATTTATATTTTTTGCTTATTACATTATTTATTTTTTGTTTGCTTTCCGAAAACACTCGTTCATCAGACTTTTGACCCTTACCTTTGCATTTCGTTTATTCTCCTTTTATGCTCTCTTTAGCAAGATCAATTGATGCTGGACATCATGACGTCATGGATCAGCCTGGACCATCCTCTGGTGAACCCAGTTTTGGTCACGCGCATAGTGCTGAGATTGTATGCTTGTTTTTTTTGTGTTTAATGGCATTGACTGAAGACATTTTTTGTTGCAGAATTTCCCTTTTCTCCAACACATTGCCTTTGGTTTTGATGGTGGAACTCCGGGTTCGACTAGCCGAGGTAGAAGCTTTAGTCAAGGAGGTAACGATTTGTGCGTACACGCAAGAGCCGAACGTCGCGAGTCTATGGCACGCTTGGCTGTAAATGTTGCAAAAAGGTCAGGGAAAGCACATTTTCAAATGTTGTGTATTGAGTGCTGTTGCTATTTTTAAGGGGACTCTCTAGTACACCGCGAAATCATCGTGTTAGATTGTCGTCGCGGCAGTCATTTGACTTGGATGTCACAGAATCGGAGCGAGGTGGATCACCGCCCACGGGCTACTATGGTCTGTCTCCACAGCCTCAGCTTGAAGACAACCTTCTCGAAGGTCAGAGATCTCACTTTTTGTTTTGCTACTACGAGCTCAAATGTTTTTGAAAGTTTTTCTTGTTTGTGAAAAATATATTTTCTACGCACGTTACAATGAAGCTAATCAACGCAAGCTATTCGACATTTTAGCACTGTTCTTTTTTATACGCTCCTATATCTAGTCAGTAGTCATAGATTTTTTTTTGTTCAGAGGCACTTCTTCAAAGTCGTAAGATCAAAGGACCAGGTCTGCGAAGACTGCAAAGCGAGGAGCCTCCAACGAAGATACAGGGACCAACCCTACGAAGACTGCAGAGGGATGAGCCTATACCCGAGGAGTCATCCAGTGAATTGTCTTCTTTGGATAAGGAGGTATGGCTTTGAAACACCCGTTGTGACTCTGAGGCGTTTTTCCTTTTCTTGTTACTTGTTTACATTTCTTTCTTTTTTGGAAAGTTTCATATTTTTTTAGTCAGCCAACGCAGCGAGACAACAAAGCGAGCCTATTCCGCCCCTAGCAAGCTTAGAAGAAATCGAAATGGGAGAAGTACCGTCGGTATATGAGACACCATCCGAGGAGCCATCATCTCTTCCGAGTGAGGCACAGTACTCTACTCCTACTGATGAAACTGCGTCTACAGAAACTATTCCAAAGCCAAAACTGGCAAGTAGAGCTGTTTTTTTTTCCTTTTGCATAGTAGTTAGTAAGCACCTGCTACTTTAGTCATCGCAAGAGCATGTGGACACCGATGACCTCTTCTTTGCATTTTCCTCTGCTTCTGAAATCGAGCCTACGACTAGATTGAAAGCTGTTAGTTTCCCTTTGCTTGTTACGCGCAACTCAGCCTTTTTCACTTTTCTATTCTTGAAGATCTTCTGTTCAGGGTAAAGAAAGACCATTGACCACGTTAATGTCACTGCCAAAGCTGCCTGTACCAGAAGGTAAATTCGCTACGTAGACCGTCGAATTGCTTTAGTTGTAGTGTTTTTAGAACCTCGTATGGCACTGGGTGGAATCTCGCGTCTCGGTGAGTGCTTTCTATGTTTGATTCTACTCTCATAAATTTGCAAGTCTCATTTTAGACATCGGCGATGGTAGAATCCACATACCTGTAGCAAAAGTAGCTCTAGGACCTGTACCAGAGGAAGATCGCATTGGAATAACTCAGCCGGATCGTCCTTTGTTAGATGCCGTGAAATCTCGGGTAAGTTCATGCCAGTACATACATACTTGCTCGAGAGTTTACATTGCGCATTACAGACACGGTCTTTACCGCGTTATCCCTTGTTGAAACAGACATCAGTGGTTGAAACACATAAACGGAGTCTCGTTGAAGATGTGCTTGTTGTGAGTATTTTACCATTATATCTTTTCATATCCTCCTTATTTTCATCGTACTTATTTGTTTACTTTGATGAACTGACATTTTACCTGTTTTGTACTCTGTTCTCTTTTCGGCTGTTGAGTTGTAGTAGTGTTTTTCATGAAAGATTCGAAGATCGTTTGCGTTCTCATGCCCGGTCGATCACAGTTGCTCAGCTGACCTCCGTCATTTTTTGTTCCCTATCTGTCATGCACAAAAGCTATCACGTTTCGCTGCTCAAGCCACTCACCAAACGTCTCACATCATGTTCATTTCTCAGAATCTTGGTCGACAAAGCTCTAACTTGTTCATACCTCGATATCGACGGTACCGAGGAATTGGTGCACTCAGCTCATTTTACGAGGGCAGCCTTCACAGAGAAAAGGTATTCCATAGTATTCCTTCAAGCAGTATCAAATTTTGTCATTCCTCTAGATCGATGCCCTTGACCCGAAAGTGCGAGACATCATAGAACGTGGTTCGGATGAGAGGTACATTTTTAGTATGATTAAATCAGCTTTTTTTACTATTAATTGTTGTAGGCCATTGTTCACATGGTGGGTAACCAGTGTTCAAGTGCTAGTGTGTATCGTATCTCTGCTGATCTATGGGCTCGGACCTTTTGGCTGGGAACGAGTAGAAATGAATGAAGAAGTCGTTGATGTTTCGCTTGCGATGAGGCAAGTGAGCTACTACGAGCCTGTCAATCTCTGGATAGGACCGAGATTTGTAAGCATAAACTAATGTAATTTCATCGCGTCCATCAGCGAATTTTATAGGCCGACTTGATACGACTAGGAGCGAAGTATTCGCCTTGCATGAGACGCGAACCCGGCTTATGGCGATTGATTAATGAAGAAAGGGCCAAGGAGAATGGTACCGGATGCTGCGTCTTCAATGACGGTACAGGGTGCTACCAGACAGGGCAATCTAGTTGTCCGGTATGCGAAGCATATGTTCAAATTTCCTGAATGGTGCTGAAGCACAATTTTCAAGAGGACTTTAGCAACTTGGCATAAATGGTCGCGTCCAAAGCCACCTACCCTGAAGAAGTCAAAGTCAGAGACACAGCTAATGGACCTTGATAAAAATTCAGTTGGGGTAAGTGGAATTGCGATTGTTTGAATTTGACTTTAATTTTTTTGATTTTCTGTGATGATTTGTCGTGATTTTCTCACTTTTATCCATTATCTGTTGATCGGCTAAGAACAATAAGCTAAATTTGTTATTCAGGGATCAAATTTTGTCTGTAACACTGAAAAATTGAGAAAACAGTTCACAATTGTTTGAATGCTTTTTTCTACCGGCTCTTAGGATTGCACTTCATTAACAAAATAATTGTTTCACCGCAGCTGCTCCATTTTTTGTAGATTTGCATTCTAGGTTACGGTATCGCGTCGCAGGGGGTCTCTCACATCTGTAATAAGTCACCATTCATGGCGAACGGCGGGAGCAGTCTGTGGACAAGATCCTGAGTGAGTGATCAATGTCTTTCTTATTTGTTAAGACTGTTTGTTGTGCAACGGCCACCGCAATGAATTATTCGTCGTAATTTTTGATTTTTGTTAAGTTTCTGCGTTCGACCATCATCAGTGAGACCGTATGAATGGCCGGATGACTTGACCCGCTGGCCGGTAGGTGTCACTTTTGCTATTATTTTTATTTCATCTTTATAAAACTTACTACAGATTTGCTTGGAACATCGCGAGGGTGGTTTTCTACCTCCACATATGACATGCCAGGTAGTTAGCTGAATGCAAATATCAATTTGCTGTTTTTATTTGCGGCTGATTCAGATAACTGGTCGCCCTTGTTGTATACAGATGCAAGGACAATGTCGTATCGCAACGCGAGAGTACTGCGCCTTTGTCAAGGGGCATTTCCATGAAAATGCTACCCTATGTAGTCAAGTAAGTTTTCATTTTCTTATCCTTCTGTTTATTTTTGCTTTGACACCTGTTTTGCGTTGGTTTTATACAATTTGTGTCGTGAACTCCGGCTTTTTCAATTTTGTGTTTTCTGTGTGTATTCTCATTGTCTTCTTTGTTTTGAGGTCAACTGTTTCTCCGATTTTTGCGGTATGCTGCCGTTTTTGTGGCATGATTGGCCGGATCAGTTCTATCGCATGTTCTTCTCGTTGTTCTTGCACGCTGGGTTAGTTGGTATAGCTTTATGTGCTCCTCTCAAAATTTTAAACAAGCACATCTCCAATTTTTTGCTTTTTTCATTGCCAATAATTTAGCGTGATACACCTTGCTATTACCATTTGGGTGCAGCTATGGTTGATGCTTGACTTGGAGATGCTAATTGGATGGCAGCGTATGGCTATCCTTTATTTCGGATCTGGCATTGGAGGGAACTTTGCCAGCGCGATATTCGTGCCGTACAATGTGAGATTCTCAATCTCTTTTTTTTTTCATGATTCCCACGCTTTGTTCTATCTGTGTGTGTTTTTAGCCAGAAGTTGGTCCTGCAGGAAGTCATTTGGGTATCATGGCTGCACTTGTCATTGATCTTTACCATCACAGGTAAGATATAGTGTATCTGATGATACTATTTGTACATTCTTGATTTCAATTTCAGGAGCATTATCGTCAGACCTCAAAGAGAACTTGGTAAACATATGTGTACGGTGCTTGTTTTGTTTTTAACAGGACTGCTGCCATGGGTAGATAATTGGGCTCACCTCTTTGGTTTCATTTTTGGATTGCTGATCACTATAGGCAAGTTATAGACGTTTTATATCGCCCTATATTTTAGTCAACTTAATCCGTTTCATCAAATTCTCGAAGCTATCGTTGCTCTGAAATGGTCTGCTATTCCAGTCACCTTTCCGTACTTGGATTTCGAATCTCATGAGAAACCGCGGCAAGGATGTCGCTCATCCTTATCTCGAAGAAATGTGAGTTTAAACATTTTTTACCCTCTGCTACTTATTTACATGCTGTCATTTTCTTTTTGCTTTTGATGAGTTGCGTGTTTGATGGTATATGCGTATTGGGTCGTTCGTTTTCTCCCTTTTCCGACGCAAATTCCACTATTTGAAGAGCTCAAATTCAATTCCAAACTCCAACTTTTGCAAAATTATAGAAATTAAGTAAGTAGAATCTCTGACTTAGAATTAAAAGTGCTTTCCAGATCGCGATAGTGATGTCACTGATCACCAGCGTGCTCCTCTATATTTTACTTGGGTATATCTACTTTAACAGAATAGAGTTGGACTGTCCGTGGTGTGAATACTTCAACTGCATTAATATTCGATTTATCACTGGATCTAATCACTTCTGCGACAACAGGGGACAGAAGCTCTTTCAGTGGTTGCCTATATAACTTTTCACTTGTTGTTTTCATTATGTTTGTACAGTTAATAGCTTTGGTTGTGATTGTTAAGTTGAAGAATAGAATAGATGTTTTGCAAATTTGAATCACTGTACGCATTGCCTTGTTTTACGGTGCATTAATGTGCCTTCGCTGAAATGACTATCTCAATGGTTATTCAAAAACATGAAATTCTTCCATTGCTATTTCTAAATCACTGTCATCTAGCTTATAGATTTTTTGTTTCTTGTTGAATATCCGTCTCTGTGATTTTTTTATAGTCTGTATGATTCGTAGGTAGACTACATAATCATTCAATCATGTTGTTAAGTTCCAATACTGGTCTACATCTTTGTTGCTTTGAAAATCTCTTCATATCCTCATCTACAGCTCTTATAAGTGCAACTTTATCCGCTGTCCAATCAAAAGGAGCTTTATCTTTTCACTTTACGAACCGCAATAAATATTCTTGATTTCGTCTGCTGTGACCGTAGCTGTTTTTGGAGATGAATTCTTCTTTTATCGTGGTATTCGACATGGACATCGATGTAATTTGACGTATTAACTGAATTTATAATATGAACGGAATTGATTCTGTGTAGCGCATCGGCTGGGGCTGCTGATGCGGAGGGCGTCTGGCGTGTGGCAGAAAAATATAGAAAAAAATTTTATCCGGACAAGGCCGGAACAGAAAAATAACAAGGAGAACAAAAACAACTAGCCGGCGGCCTTTTATAGCCGCGCGGGTACAAAGTACAAACATGATCTACAATAAAACAATAATCGCAACGACACAAACCTACTCAATGCTAACAAATATCTTTTATTTCTTATAACTATTCTATATCTCCTTCACATGCCTCCCCGACGAGTAGAGTCGTCCCGACGATGCCCATGCGTGTGATGCGAGTGCGAGGAATGTCGGCTGGGTGACCTATGGTGGCGGTTAGGAGAGTTCCTTCGGTTCGGGGCTTGGGATGGGTCTTCAAACGTGATCGGTGCTCGATGACGCCTTTTCTGCGGATCGGCAATCACCCAGAAATTGGGCATATACTCTTCCTTGCGGCGCCGCGCCTTCAGTACCTTCTCTCGCCTTCGTTGCTCGCGTAGTTCTGGTGTTGCGGGCTCGAATTTCGGCAGCCTGATAAGGTCATTCACGGTAATCCTGACTTTCTCGAGGAACGTCAGTATCTGGGGTCCAATGAAGGGCGCACCACTGCGTCTTGGGTTGACTCCCAGGCAACAGGCTAGATGTGTATACGGCGCATGATCCAGTACGCCGGAGTAATGATCGCGAGTCACAGCCAAGAAGTTGCGGGATGGATCCGTTAAGAACCGTACGAACTCGCGGCACACTTCGCCCACCCTTCTCCATTCTTCGGCATTCCGATCCTCATATGGGCTGCCAGCAGCTGCAGCGAAATCTCAGATTCAAGCGGTCGTCGGAGGCCAGCAGGGTCCTGAAAAGAGAGATTTTGTTGCATCGAACTTCTTGCGTCTTATTTTTCTTAGGACGCCCTCTTTTACCCCTGCTTTTTCTCGTTAGCAATGGCTCGTCGGAGATACCCCGGGGTAGCTTCCTAAGTAAGTCAAAGGGTACCCTTACTGGTTCCTTATCTTGGTTGATCAGTGTAATTAGGGCACTATTCTCACTGGCCTCTATAACCCGGTAGGGTCCTTCCCAGGGATTCGCCAATTTGGGATGGCTTGAAGACTGCTTCTCGCTGGGGATTCGCATGTAGACGCGGTCGCCTACCTTGGGGGGTGCAGGACAACTCTCCACTCCCTTCTCACGGTCGTATGATGCTTTCATACGCTCTCGCATCTTATCGTTTACCCTGCGTGCGTATTCACGCGCAATTTGCGTCCCTACAGCCACCTCTTGGGCATAGCTGTCTATGTCCACTGCGTATCTGCGGGCTTCTGGCTCCAAATCCCACGGGACATGCGCGTCAAAACCGTGTAAAAGGAAAAATGGGGACTCTCCAGTGGACTCATGCACTGCGGTATTGTACGCAAACACACAGGCGGGTAAGATTTTATCCCATTCCACTGCGATGGAGACCTTTTTCCTCAACATCGAGATGATAGTCTGATTAAACCTTTCGGTAAGGCCATTTTCGCGAGGGTTGTACCCTTTTGTGAAAGTTTGCTCAAATCCCATCAACTTCTGTAGCTCTTCCATTAACTTGTTTTCGAACTCCCCTCCCTGATCTGAGAGGAGACACTTGGGCTGGCGTCCACCCTCTGCCACCCATCGTTCAAAAAACACCCGAGCTACCACTGGTGCAGCTTTGGATGGTACAGCATAGGCACCAGCGAACTTTGAGAAATGGTCGACTACGGTTAGAATGTAGCGGTTCCCTTCCGTGGTGATACCCATTTCCAAAATGTCTATACCCACTACCTCGAATGGCCTAGTGGTCACAATTGGACGTAGTGGTGGGACCATTGCTTGCTGGGGGTTGTGACACAGGCATTCACGGCACTCCTCTGCCCAGCGCCAGATGTCCCTTCTCATAGATTCCCAGAAGAATCTTTTGGATAGCTCACGCCACATCTTCTTGGCTCCGAAGTGCCCCGCTAACACTCCGTAATGGGCCTCTTCAAAGAGTTTCTTTCTCTGGGAGGTTGGTACTACCTTCCGCAAGCGGTCTTTATCCACCAGCATAAGGTGACCGCCGCTCATGATGAAGTCAGCCACCTTGTACCTCAGCGATGATCCTGGAAATTCCACTTTTCCATCCATTTCGTCTTTTTCCAGTCCTTCTAGGATTTTCTGGTAGACTGGTTCTTCACGAAGCTCTTTTGTCCAAGCCGCGTCTTCCATTGCAGATGCGACGATCAGCTCCCCTGGCATTGTATCGTCAACCTCCGTACAGTATTCCATCTCACGTGTCGCACCACGGCTCAAGGCATCCGCTACCCGATTTGCCGCTCCTTTCAGGTAGACAATCTTCAGGTCGTACTTCTGAAGCTCAAGTGCCCACCGCAGTACTCGATCCGAAACGTTGGTGCGCTTGAAAATTGCTGTAAGTGCTTGATGATCCGTACATACCTCTACCGGAAGCCCGTAGACAAACATGTGGAATTTACGCAAAGCGAATACCACTGCTAAGGCCTCGAGGTCCGTTACGTGGTACCTCTTTTCGCAGCTGGACAGCCCCCTAGATGCGAAGGAGATCGGATGCAGCAGACCATCTTCTCCTTCCTGGCTGAGCACTGCCCCCAGACCTTGGGTACTCGCGTCCGTGTGGATTTTGAAAGGTTTCTTTCCTTCTCTTGCTCCTTCAATGTCCGGTTGCGCAAGCACCGGAGCTTCGGTGATTACCTTTTTCAGATGTTGAAAGCTCACCTTTCTTTCCTCCGTCCACTCAAACTTCTTCTTTTCCGAAGTAAGTTCATGCAGAGGACCCGCTATCTTCGCAAACCCCAACACGAACTTTCTGTAGTAGGAACACATCCCCAGAAACGTTCGAAGATTAGACCGCGACTTTGGTAATGGATACTTCCGTATCGCTTCCGTCTTAGCTGGGTCCATGTGCAGGCCGTCTTGATCAATCACATGACCAAGAAATTCTACTTTTCTTTCGAAAAGTACACACTTCCGTGGATTCAGTCTAAGCCCGGCGATCTCCAACTTTTCAAAGACCTCATCGAGCACACAAACGTGTCTCGTGGCTGAATCCGTGGCGATAATGATGTCGTCAAGATAACAAAATACCTCTTCGCCTTCTAACAACGTACCCAGTACGTTGTGCATTAGTCGCTGGAACACTGGTGGAGAAGCTGATAGCCCGAACGGCAGTACTCGAAACTGGAAAAGGCCTTCGGTGGTAACAAAAGCCGATTTTTGTTTTGCATCTTCCGATAAGCTTATCTGCCAGTATCCCGAAGCTAAATCGAGTGTCGAAAAGAACGCTTTTCCTTTCAGGCTCTGTAGAATCGAATCGATGGAAGGTAGTGGGTAACTATCTACTCTGGTGACTTTATTCACTTTTCGATAGTCCACACATAACCTTAACGATCCATCTTTCTTTCGCACCAACACGATAGGCGAGGCCCAGCTTGATCTGCTCGGCTCGATTACCTTTCGTGTCTGCAGATCATTCAAAATGCGCCTGAGCTCCACTCGAGTTGCTAAGGGTACTGGCCTTGGCTTCTGCTTTATTGGCAATGCATCTCCTGTCTCAATATCGTGCTCTACCAGGTTTGTCTGCGACAACTCCTGATCGGTGACCGCGAATCCCTTCGCATGGCGTATCACCAAATTCCGAATGTTTTCCTCAAGGTTGCCGCTCGCCTTGCTCTTCTCCAAAAGCTTCACAAGGCGCTCTTCTCTATCCTGTATTCGAGAATTTGTCCTCTCCAGCATGTTACCATGTTAAGTGACAGGTTGCTGCTCCACTAAATCCAGCGGTTCAAAAGTTCCCATCTCTTCCCCCTCTCGGAAGCTTGGCTCCTGACAAGCCATTAGTCACTGGAACGCTCATGGAGTTGCTGTCATTGCCCCAAACCATATCAGGAACCATTCCACACTTTGACCAGCAAATTCCCTCTTTTGGGCTGCCTTTGCGGCTGACAGGCAACATCTTTGTTTCACCTGGTCCCACATATACTCGTTCCGTGGTAGTGACAATGTCCCGTTGCTGTTTTCTAGTACTCCTTTTTAGCGATTCTGCCGTCTTGAGTACATCTGTCTCCGTCTCCTCGTGTTTAACACCTCCTCTCGTGTTGGCCACGGAGAATCCTAGCTTTGCCAATGCATTCGTACCTAGGACGATCATGCCATCCGCTCCCGCCATCACGAACAGTGCTATTTTCTGCTTCACACCGTCTTCTAGCTCGATAGCGAGCCTAACTGCCCCCTTGAACTTCATTCTATTACCTGACGCATCGTAAACCGGCGCCAGATGATCTATCTCTATCTCCTCGACGTTGCTATCTAAATCAAATCCGCTATCACGGCTTGCCACAAGCATCTGTAATGGGATGATGCTCACCTGGGAGCCCGTGTCTATAAGCGCCCTCCGCAGCAAGCCTAGCAGACGAACATTCGTGATCACCTGCCCTCCTACAAGCTCATGTACGGCTGGTGCTGTTGAGAGAGCACTGCAGATCCATTTGTTTAAAGAAGCTGTGAAAATTTTTGGTGCGTCCGTAGGTGGTCCATTCCGCGTTGCTTCGGTGGTTCGTGGCTTGTTGCACTCCCGACTGTAGTGCCCCACTTCCTTGCACTTGAAACAGCGTGGTTTTCGCTTTTCAGACGTCGCAGGTGTGTTTTCTTGTCCTACGTACCTTGTCTCTTCGTATCTTCGTACAGGTAGCTTCTTACTGCTAGTCGCTGCTGTTACCTGCTCTGTGGTCCGTCGCATCGCATTAGCTACTTCTTTGCTGCGTTCACATCTTTGGGCCATTGTCTTCACCAGCTCATACGCACATTCCCTCGGCGCGGTTTCCATGGCGGTGAAGAGTTGCAGGTACTCTGGCCATTTGGTTAGTTGAGACACTAACTCCCCGGCTCTTGTCCTTGAGAGTTCTGCTTCTGATGCATCCGGGTATGCCCTCTGCGTCAGCCTTTCCAGCTCAAGACAATATGATGTAACATCCTTGTTCATCTTCAGGTGCTTGAGCTGCATGTAGGCCGTCATTTGAGTGGCAGCGTTATGGGCTTGAAATTGGCTTCGCAAAGCTTCTATGATCCCCTCCAGGGTACCATCTCTTACCCTTTTTGGTAGCGCTTCTGCTGCAGCCTTTGGGTACCCTCCCAATTTTGAAAGGAATAGGTGGACTAGCATGTCCTCCCGCAATCCTAGCCCGTAGTACTTCATCTTGAACCGTAGCACAAATTCTTCCAGCCCCCTCCCCTGGGGATCCCTGTAGGTCTCTACCTCCGGGAGGGTCATTGCCGCAAACATTTGTGCCATATTTGTAGGATTATATATGCCGAACATACCTTGCGACTGGTTTCTCCCAACAGGCTGTTCCATTGCCCTCGTTTTCTGCAAGCTCTTCTCGGCGGGCTGAAATTGGAGACCATTGTGATCTTGTCCTTTTACCACTTCGCCTAACTTGCCTTGTGCGGCAGCGATGGGATCGAATATTGCGTATGCCTGGTCGTCCACGATGTCTTCGTCCTGCTCTTGCACTCTGGACGTCGAGGGTGCATCTGCAGGTACCTGAATATTGATATTTTTCTGCTTTGTTGTCTTGATACGATAGTGTTTACTGTTTGTTGACTCTGCTTGCCCCTCACTATCCCTGATTTCTTGGCTGCACTTTGTAAAAGTTGCAAAGCTTGACTTGTTAACCCTCGTTGCTTGACCAGTAACTCTCCCACTTCCTCTAATGCCTGTATCTCGCTGCACACCTGCTCACACTCAGTTTCAATGCAGCTGCTGGCAAGCGCTTCAAGGTTTTCCGCGTTCCTACCCTGCGCTCTTGTATGTTCATTGTGCTCTCTTAGCGCCGATGGCACTCCCCGCAGCGCTTCGACCCTCTCTTTTAATGCTGTCGTTGACAGTTTTACCTGTATTGACCCTTTCTTCGAGATATCCTCGATACTTGCGACCAGCTTCTCCAAAGTTTTCTGCATGGTCAGCAATTGATCCGTAGGGACTTCTTCCAGGCTCATTTTGTCTAAGTTGATTGCTTCAGGGCTTTCTGACATCGCGCCCACTTTTCTGCAAGAGCCAGGATCACTTCTTTATTTATTTTCTTTTATTTTCTCCTTTCCCGCGTATTGACGCGAAAATGTGGCGATGGATTGGGATAGGTGGCAATGTATGTCCCTTATGCCAAGGGCTTCAAAAAAAATTGCGCAGC